TATATTCACTTTACTCAATCAACTTGTTTCGTGACACTTTGGCTATACAATTTTACAACAGATTGCACTAAACTAAATTCTGGTAATGGTTGGACATTTTTAAGTGCAAAATTGACTTTTCAATGATTTATTTAAGGAAAATTACACTTTATCCACCAGCTTTTATGCTTTTTGCACTTTACCCACTCAACATTTTTTTGCTCGACACTTCGGCCGTATAACTTTGCACAAAATTGCACTTACGAAATTCCGGTCACAGTTGCACATTTGTAAGGGCAAAACTGATTTTGGAGTGATTTATTTAGGGACAAATTTGTCAATTTAATTTGTGGGGCAAGCTCTTCTATTCTGGTGAATGCTTTCTCTTGGCTATATGGTTTATCCGGGGGAGAGATCGAGCTTTTTTAGCTTATTATATCAACCTCAATAGTTTCCAACTTTCCTAACTCGATCAAAGTGTCAATCAAAATGAGATATAAGAATATGAACAGAATGACACAAAACACACCATTACTACATATAGAATATGTTCAATATTTATTTTATATTAAACATAACAAAAAATTCTCCTAATATCAGGACCTTCGTAGCATAATGAAACCCAATAATTCAAAAAATTTCAACTTTCCTCACTCGATCAAAGGTGTCAATAATGAGATATAAGAATATAAACAGAATGACATAAAACACACCATTACTAAATATAGGATATATTCAATATTTATTTTATATTAAGTATAACAAAAAATTCTCCTAATATCATGACCTTCGTAACTAAGGCTGAGTACGGGTCGGGTCGGGTCGGGTCGGGGATCCAGAAATCTCCGGAACCAAACCGAACTTCGGAGATTCAAAAAACTGGATCTCCGGAACCGAACCGGTTCTAACAAATCTCCACTCCGAACCGAAAATTTTGGTTCGGTTCGGTTCGGAGATTCGTTTCTAATGGGCCGGTTTGGTACGGATCGGAGATTTCGAAGATTTTTTAAATTTATTTATTTATTTATTTTATTATTATTATTTTAATAAAAATCTCCTAATTGCATGTTAGATGGTACATATCATTGATGAAAGAAAATCATAAACCTCTCATAATTTCAAAAGATATTTCGTCAATTAATAGTAAGAATAGGTGGTTAATTTTTTTCTTATTTTATTAAAAAAGTGATAATTATCTTTTAGTTGCAAAATATCATAATTTAATTTGAAAGATTTATATGTTGAACGTTTATATGCCAAAAAATCCGCAAGTGATAAGACATACATGAACAATAATAGTCAATTTAAAGATAGTTATTTGTTAAATAAAATTGGATATTTTAAAAATATATTATGTCCAAATAAATTAATCTCTTCTGGCCGATATCGTGAGATTCGGATATAGTACATGTAAAGTTTGTTTTCAATAAGTGAAGATATATAATTTTATTAATAAAATAATTAATATATCCGTTCTTAATCTAATATTGTGGTAAAGTTATATTTCAATTTATTTTTATTTTAGAATATATCGCCTTTAAATAAATATTTTTTCTCCAAATTTTGTGAAAGACTTACTTCATAAAGGTCGATTTTTCAAACCTTCGGAATTCAAATTATATTAAGTTATATTTAATGATTTTCTTAATAAAATATTTGACATGTTGGCTATCAAATGTAATAGGAAGAATATATTAATTTCTTTTTCTTTTCAATTATGTACAATACATATGAATTGTAATAGATTTTATTTGAATACAATTATGTACAAAGATGAAAAAAATACATATGATAAAATATAATATATATATATATATATTATATATATATATGGATTTATGAATTGGAATCAGTTCTTATTCGGTTTCTTGATTCGGTACGGTTATTTTCGGTTCGGTCCGGTTTGGTTCGGTTCTCGGTACGGATATTTTATGAATCTCCAGAACCGTACTAAAAAAATTTCGGTACAGTTCGGTTCGGAGATAGTCAAACGGTCAATGGATATTTTTTGGTTCGGGGTAAATTCGGTACGGTTCGGTAATCTCCATGACCCGTGCTCAGCCGTATTTGTAACATAAACAAACCTTGTAATAAATTTCAAATAAATTAGATACCAAACAACAATGTTGGGAAAAAAATCTCAAATTAAAATAATATATATATTTTTTAGAACTTTTTTCCTAGTTAAATTGACAAGTAATGGATTCGAAGATACGTGTTCCCGTGAAGCAACTGATACAAACTTCACACAAAAATATGAAGATTCATTCACAGGATAGATCATGAAAAATCATCTCTCATAGTGCAATTTATGTTTTCCTTCCTTCCAAATTTCCAAGTTCAAACCCTGTTAACACGATTTTGGAGTTCGATAGCTCGAGCATCTATAAATTCTTCATCGTCGGTCTCGTCATTAATCGTGCTCTTGCTCTGTCGTCGTCACCCGTCGCCGACGGATGTCTCCTCCACACGCGATTGACCAATCGATCGATTGCGTATTTTTTTGAGGAGAAATCCAATTGTGAGGGTTCAATGTTAATTGGGCGGAGAGAATGGTCGGCAATAGAATGTGTAGTTAGGTGGATAACGTGTAATTCTTCTAATTATAATTAACTGAATGAATTACTGAAAGGTCGATTTTGTTTTTAGAAATGCCCAGTGGTGATCGAAAATTAGCCAAGTGCAAATTTTTACAAAGTTATATAGATAAAGTGTCACAAAACATACAACTAAGTGGGTGAAGTGTATTCTTCTCTTTGTTTTGTGTGCGCTTGTGTTGTTTGGCTGGTTTTTTTTCTTTCTCTTTTATTGGAGCTAGTATTTCCACGTGTGGGAGTTATATATTTTCTACTTGTGAGAGTTTAGTGTCTTAGTCTCGTGGGTGCGTTTTAGACTTTTAATGTAGTTGATTCGAGGCTACTGTCATTACGACGTATAGTTCTCTCTTTGGATTCATCTGTATAGTTGCTTGAGTCGGTTGTTGCTAACTGTTTTCAGGGTTTTATTTACATTCTGGTTTTTGAAACATGTGGTTTTTGAAAAAATATAAAAAAGACTAAACATTCTGTTTAATTTATCTCAAAATTGTGGTATTTTACAATTTTAATTTGAACTTTCAACTCTTAAACTAAACTATGTTGCAATTCATGTGGTTGGGACAAGGGCACCTCAAACTTGTGAAATTACATTTAAGGAAATGAAATATAAATCAATTTTGAAGTCCAAACCATTTGCTCAATTAATTGATGGTGAGCAATTTAGNATTGAATCTTAGAATTGATTAAATAATGGTCAATACATACATTCAATGTTAAAATTGGTATCTTTTAAATTGAGCCTGAATAATCTCTACAGCATATATGAGAAAAATGAATGTACATGAATTACTAACAGCAGGGTTTTAAATCTATAAATTTGTTTGTTGTATATTTTCTTGAAAAAACTTGATCAATATGTGCACTAATCTACAAACAATATGCCCAATTAAATTTGGTTTGCTTTTTCTAGTAAGGTTACACTGAAGCACAGTGCCATTCTGCACCTAAATTGTCCAATAACTATAAGTTATGTATAAACATGTACTTTTTAATGAAATATTGAAACATATTTTGGTATTCAGCATGGTTATTAGTATAAAACAATGCTCTTGAATTGTAGTTCACATTTGAAGTCAATACTAGGGATAAGAAACCATAAAGCTAACCATTCCAGATCAAAGTGCAGATAATAACAATGAGAATGTATACATTATATTGTCTTTACAGAAATGCAGATGGATTGCAATTTAACATGGTAAAAGTGAAATATGATTTATTAAGAATATTTTCATAAATATTTGAGTCTGATGCATCATACATTGATTCTAAATTTAAGGAGACAAGTTAATACATTTTTTTGGAACTAAATTATATTGTGATAACTTTTTACCAGTAATTATTCTACTTGCATTCATTATTATGAACACAGATCACGACACAAAAAGCTTAACTACAGACAATTGTAACATCATCACAAAACAACACGTGTCAAGTTTATAATTTCGAGTTAAATATAAGTTACGTTGAACCCATGCAAAAAAAAAAGGCTTTATTCGACCGTAAAAGAAAAAAAATCGTATGTGCCGTTCATATTATAACACAACAACTTTATAACTCGTGAAATCAAATTACTACAATCAACACACAATAAATTGTAACATTTATATACGATTCNAAAAAAAAAAACGTGCACTACATAGCCTTATTACTATACCAGTAAAAGAAAATCACAAACTTGTTCATCTTGAATGCCATACGAATCGACATTTTCCCAGCCAAATCCAATCGGATTTCAACGATCTTGATTCTACACACTCGCACATTCACCTACTATCATTTCTCATGTCCAGATCGGAACTTCATTTCAAGCATTTTCACATAATGTGCGAAAACCGCAACACTGTCCATCAAAACCTCTATTTCGACCACTTCACATTTCGAGCACAATATCTCCCAAACCGTACATCCTCACGGCACAAATAAACACTCTCCCGAAACCTTACGAAATTTCCCCGGAGACTAAAGAAAAATCAGCTCGATCCAAAAACCCTAACTCGAGTTATTCCCGAATCAACCAAGTACAAAAACACACCCTTAGGGTGCTTTAACATCCAACTCACCTAATGCAATTGCTAATGTCCTACTCACTAGGGGCGCGCGCCGTAGATTAGATCCAATCGAACGGCCCAAATTTGAAATTTGGCAAAGGTCTCGATCCGCGTCAATCAACTCTCGACCAATCAGATTTCGTCTTCTCGGATATGAGGCCTGCGCATTTTCGTATATAATCCGCCCCAATTTCCTCCTCTGAGACTCACAACATAACCCACCGCTAGATCTGTACTCCCATCGCATCTCAATCCTTAAATCCTAGCCCTAACCATAGCTTCCGAAGCTAATTCAGTCATGGCCGCCACTGCCGAGGAGCCAGTTATCCCCACCGAGCCGGAGGTTGAGGCGGCGGCTGCAGAGGAGCCTGTCAAGGAAGAAGCTCCTGTGCCGCAGCCCAAAAAAACCGCTCCCGCCGACACTGCTACAAAGAAAGTCACCGCGTCGAGGAAGCGCAAGCCGTCCACTCACCCTCCTTACTTTGAGGCACTGGATTCGTTGATTATCGTTTGATTTGTTTTTCTTCAATTCGTTGAAAATGGTGTTTAATTGATTTTGTTCTGTTTGTGTGCGTGCAGATGGTTAAGAACGCGATCGAGACTCTGAAGGAGAGGACCGGATCCAGCCAGTACGCGATCACCAAGTTCATCGAGGACAAGCAAAAGAATCTGCCGCCGAATTTCAAGAAGCTCCTGCTCATGCAGCTGAAGAAGTTAGTCGCCGCCGGGAAGATCAACAAGGTCAAGAACTCGTACAAGCTCCCGCCGGTCCGTGCTCCCAGATCGGCTACAGCTGCCCCGGCGAAGAAGAAGCCGTCTCCCGCCGCCGCGAAGCCAAAGGCGAAGCCGAAAGCCGCTGCCAAATCCAAGGCCGTTGCGAAGTCCAAGGCGAAGCCTAAAGCCGCCGCCGCCAAACCCAAGGCTGCTGCCGCCGCGAAACCTAAGACTGCTGCTGCCAAGCCTAAGCCGGCTGTGAAGGCTAAGCCAGCTGCCAAAGCCAAGCCGGCTGCTAAGACCAAGGCTGTATCTCCTGCAAAGCCGAAGTCCGCCCCAAAACGTAAGGTTCCCGAAAAGGCAAAGGCTGAGAAGAAGCAGCCGGCCAAGGTCGCAAGGACGTCGACGAGGTCGACTCCCAGTAAGAAGGCTGCGGCACCGCCACCTCCGAAGAAAGCTCCGGCGGCGAAGAAGGCGGCTGCGAAGAAGGCTCCGGCCAAGAGCGCGAAGGCGAAGACGGTGAAATCTCCGGCGAAGAAGACCGCCGCGAGGAAGGGGAGGAAGTAGGGATCGCAGGGGTATTCTGGGAAAATGAAGTCTGTTTCTAGGGCATTACTGTAAATTTACTATCGGTCTTTTTTATGAGTGCTGCTGTAGTTGCTTTTTCTGCCTGAGGGGCATGATAGAATCTCATTCTGTTTCCCTTCTCATTACTTAAAAATTTTCGATTTCTTTTTTCTTTTTCCTTTACTCTTTTGAATCTTCTTGTTTTAGGGATTTGGATTAACGCATGCTCTGTATATGTTCAATTCTTATCCCAAATGAAATATGAAATTAGTGGATCTTCTTGAAGTACTCTAGTTTTCTGTTTATGCAACATTTTTTCCTTAAATTCAAAAAATTCTCCAATCTGCAGATTTGTGGCGATTAGGGTTTATGAATAGCTGGCTGTGCACGCATCAAAATTCTTTTCGTTTATGTTAAAAGCACCAGGTGGTTGCTTCAATGAAGTTTGTGTGTGTTCAAGGGCAGCCCAAAATAATTACAGCTAATTGGTAAAACCTCTGAACATTTTCTGGTTTTTAACTCTGCTTTGCAGTTTATCTTGATGGCCATTTATGTGTTGGTCCTATCAAATCCTTGCAGATTGTGCTCTTAATGAGGATGGATAATGGTAAGAATTTGAATCAAGGGCTTTCTAGGTGGCGTAAATTTCATTTTATGTTATTTCCAGCTCTTGAATCCATGATTGAATCTACTCTATACTATTTCCTCCAATCCGACTTGTATTACGACAATTATTGGTCTAGGAGCATTGGAAAGTAACATTGTTAAAGATAACAGTCAGACTATAAAAGCGTGGTTACACTTAATGATAGTGTCGTGTATCTCATTTTATGTTATCTCGAGTTCTCAAATCCATAATTGAATCGACTATAAAAGAAGGCCATCAACGCTCTTGGTAAATTTCTGAAGCTATCAACCTCAAGCTAAGCAGCTGCAGAAGCTGTAGGGAGGGACAGACCATCATTACATGTTCGTCCAATGTACACAAACTCAGAACAATATAACATTGTTAAAGCTATCAATGAACTATAAAAGCCTGGTAACTCTTAGTGTGCGCCTTCTTGCAAGTTCGAGTCATTTTGTGTACCTATGAATGACAAAAAACCAGCTTTAGTAAATGATGAAGCAATAAATTTGTTGGTCTGAAAATCTGATTTTGAGATTCTTATGATAAGAAGGTATTTGTGAAAATCTTTCCGCAGCTTCCTTTTTTACTTTATCATCTTTCCAATCCATGCTACACTCCGAAAGGAAGAGGAAAAATTAGTCTCCAAGTAGTTGTTCAAATGGAAAATCCTATAAACATTCTGAAATTGTACTTGACTACCATTCAATTCCTTACTATGCCGAAAAGGAAATGTGTTCACTGAGTGCACTCAGTAACATCTTGAATTATGGTATTTTGATTATGATTCTTATAACCATTTGATTCATCTTTCACTTATGAAATCAAAATTATGATCTCGACAGTGCACTTCTGGACGAGAAGAAGTTGAAAAGCTCAGGTAGATATGTCACTAGCATTACCGTTTGGCTGATCTGGCAATCATGAGACGCCAGATGTATTTTACCAGTGTATGTATTCATAAACTTTGAGCACAAGTCATTGATTAACCGTTTTTGTTAAACGATGTTCTTGATCAAGCAGGACAGTTGTAAGTAGAGTAATATAAAAATGTAAGTAGGACAGTATTTTGTTCAACCAGAGTGATATTAACTGTTCCCCAAGATGTGGATTTTTGTTGTTCACTGGGGAAGTGTATGAGTGGAGATGATTGTAAAGTGTAAACTTCTTCATTAAAACAAAAAAATACAAACCGAAAGAACTAGCTGACTGTTAAAATTTCATGGGATTTTGCTGCTACCATTTTTCAGTCTGGCAAAAATGAAAGCTCAATCAAAACATTTTTTTTTTCACTCATCATGTGGATCAATTGAAGTTTTTATTCTAGTGAACTTTCGAGTCTCGAAAACAGTTAAATCTGCTATTAATATAATCCACTATCGACTTATATGCATCACGAGACAGATGTTCAATCCCTCAGTCTCTCGATTCTCTTAATTGAAAACTTGAGCTCCTTCTGAATATTCAGCCTCGATGGCGATAGGACAATATCATTCCAGACAGAACCCGCTTGGTAAGCTGGGTGGGCCCTCTTATACAGCTCGAAAATCGAGTCTGCTTCCTCATTCAACCTTCCTACTATGTCCAGACACTTAATCTCATCTGGGTCCACCAGCAAATTCTTGTCTTTATCCTTCCATCCTATCAACTTCACAATCACAACACATCAGCATCAAACAAACATATATCTATGTATATGTATATAAACAATTGTTACTTGTATAAATTAGTCCAGGTGTGTAAATTTTCTTGTTCTGTTTTTCCTTTTTTCAGTTGGAAGTTGAATGTACCTTTGGAGGGCCTTCCAATGCATTTGTGCTGTAGAGACGAGCGTTATCCACTAATTGGCAGTAAGTTTTGAATGCATCTGCAAATCTCTTGTGTGATTTTAGCTGCGAGTTCACTCTTACTGCTCTTCTACACATTATGGCTCGCCTGTGGCAAAATCCAAAGACAAAAAAAATGTCAGCTCATTGGGAACTCTCTATTTCCTGATTTTTGCACTCATATCTTGAATCAACCCACTAAACCCAAAATAATNAAAAAAAATGAAAAAAAGAATCATATATGAATATATTAGAGTCTGTACCTTATTCCCCTAATAACTGCTAAATAGGCATCACAAACAACGCCGACCAATTCTATCCTGTAAGGCCTTCTTTTCCTGTTTCCATCCTGTTCTTGTTCTTCATCAATTTGTTCCCAGTAGTTCTCAGTTACAATTCCATCTTCATTTACTTTGTAGCCAGCCCCCATACGGTACCTTCGCCTGTGGACATTCCTAGCCATGGTTATTGTTTGCATGACAAACGGGACCCACGAGAGTGTGCCATCCATTATCACATCTCGGCCTTCGTTGAGTGCAGTTACTAAGAGAGATGAGGCTGCATCTGTAGATGATTGGTGCACCTAAAGAAATATTTTCGTATGGCTTTTTCAGTTACAACTTGTAGCATAAAAAGTTTTTTGCATCTTGATCTTCATTTAGTGAAGTTTCTAGGTATTATTTTTTTGTGAAGGCAGCTTATTCATTAAAATGAAGTAGGATTTTAGGCGGAGACTCGAAAACTGAAGTAATACATATGTGAGAATGCGTATTGGGAAAGCTGGAAAATCGACTCATGCATACTATATAATAAAATGTCGATATTTTTTTTTTTTAATTATTTGTGATGGATATAACCGATTGTTGTGTTACTTATATGAAGGGGATGAATACCAGTTCAGCAGTCTGAAGCATGTCATGATGCCCCCTCGAGCTAAGGGCTCTATAAATAACGTCTGATTCCTTAAATGCATCAGCTTCTATCACAACCGCATTACCACATGCTCCAGCCCAGAATGGTCTGTACCGTCACATAATCGAACACAAATTAGCATCAAGCTCTTGCAGAAATTAGGAAAAAAAATAAAAAAAATAAAAAAAATCAGATATTCTCAGCTATATTTATTTATGTTCTTTGAAGTTAATATCTCTTATCAAGTTATCACTAATTCTCTTTCGGCTTACTCTTTGAGAATGTCCTTGAGCACAGTACTTTTGCCAGCTCCCATTCCACCACCCATGAGGAGGAGCATTGGGCTTCGGTCTTTATGGGCCATAGGGACCATCACATTCGTGCACTGTGAGTCATCGAGGGACACAAGCCCAATGGCTTTCATCTCCTCCACTAATGTGGTAAACACTCTAGCCACCTTCAGATTCTTTGTCACCCTTTCGAATCTCTGTTCTCTGTACATATATGGCAGAAGAAGGCACGAAAATCACAGTAAAATATTAATACCTACATGATAATAAGGTTTAATTGCAAAATTACTTCAGATCTTATCTTACCTAGTGGCTGCCATGACAATGTGCTTGAGCTTCTTTTTTGGCTCGATTTCAGCACTCAGCACCTGATGAGATTACGTATCACAAAAAATTCGCTTCGTCAAGAGCTTTGAGATGTTAAAAGAAAATGAAAGAAGAAAAAAGAAAGAAAAAACATGCCTGGCTAAGCATGAATGAAGCATGCCTCCAATGGAAGGCAAAGTAGCTAAGAATACATCTCTCGAGCTCCTCAACCAGTTTAATGAATAGGGAGTCAACATCAGGTTCACTCGCGAAAAAAGCGTACATTTCCTCTTCACAACCTTCTGCTTTCCTGATGTAATCCGAGGCCAACTTGCACAGGTTTGGACATTCTCTTATATCTCTGAATCCCATTTGCCTTGCTGTTCTTACACACACAAGAATGTGTCAAAGGTTTTATGGGAACACATATGATGTCTTGAGAATTTTTTTCGCCCCTTTGAAAAATAAAAAAGAACTAAAATTTTCCAAATGCATACTAGATTAGCATCTTTCAATATATGAAGGATCTGACATAAGATACACTCACCTACATAGTGTCCGAATCTCTCGATGTCCAAAACCTGCCCGATTTCAGAGATTGTAATTCGAGGCACGATCCTCTGATCTCTTATCTTCCTAAGACGGTAATGCATAGCAGCCGCTATAATCAGCCCAATTGACGAGGCCACAAGGATCTGCGTGTAAGTGGGTTTCGTGTTGCTATTCCCATAATCTGATGGAAGAAAAAAATTTAACAGTTACAGTCTCATAAATCACTCATAATTTCCCAAAAGGACACACAAAAGGGAAAAGAAAAAGAGAAAAAGGGAAGAACGACGAAAATAAATTGTACGTAAAGATCGTACCTTTAGGCATGTCCCGGCATTGGAAGAACAAGAATGGGGATTTTGATGTTAATTTTGACATCTGCATGTGTGATTTGCGGTTGGAATCTGGCGATCTGCATGTATGTCTGTGAATGAATGAAAATGTGATTAAGAATACCAAGTCAAATCGTTATGGTTGTATTGTAGTGTTTGCACGTGGTTAAACAGATATTGTTACTGTGCTGTAAAATCTCCCCCCCTATAAATGACTGTTTACTAGCATCTACAATGCATCGAGTCTAATCTTGCCTACGTGGTATGTAAATAAACCCAAGTCTTAGATGAAATAGATAAAATTATGTAAAATGAACAATGTTTACTCCAAGGCAAAGAGATCAGGTCTCTACTTGGGTCTAAAATAGACTTAAGGGGAGACCGGATCTCTTTTTCTGAGTGCCACATCAGCAGGACTCAGTCTACTTTTATTTGCATTGGAAAATACATTTTTTTAGACTGAGTCTACATATTAAGTGTCGTATAATTTTTTAAGATTGAACCCAAGCATTGTGGGTGCTCTAATGTATCCGTGGATATTTACTCTGCTCTAATGTATCCGTGGATTTTAAGAGTAAATAGGAAAGAAAATCTGTCCTGGATGGATTTTCAGGTTCTTTGAACCGAATTATTGTGTGGATGGAGGTACTCTATAGTACTAATTTTGGTAATTTGATATGTGTTTTGCGATTTTATTGTAATAAATCAATAAAATTAGATTTGATTAAATTCACTCGGTATGTTATATGACTTGTAGAATACAACACCCGTGTGTTATATTTGATAGTAGAAAGAAAAGTTTTTGTTTCTAATTTCAGATATTTCTAAAATAATAGTATTATTTATATTTATAATGACACTCGTTGGTTATATTTACAACTTATGGTTCTTAGTGTATTAATTATATTAATTCATATTGTGTAATGGACTTAATAGATAAATATATTTCATTAACAAATAATTGTATTATTTTTAAATTAGTATTGATAGGTAATTTATTTTCTTATAAAGTACATATATATTTATAAATACAATATGAATGTCAAATTGAAGTTCGTTAACATATGATTTAGTAGATATAATAATAATATAATAATAAAAAAAGTTATTATTTTTGAAAATATATTTACAATTTAAGTTATTAAAGTTTTTTATAATTATAAAAATCTAAATTGACATGAATAGAAATCTATATGTACGTAGAGTACTTCGAAGTACATCCCCTTTATATATAATTTAATAATGCGCTGAGTTTACGTGACAAATTTCATCTTTGGAATTCTATTTGACAAAAAATCATACTTTGGAGTTAGGCTTGGATATAAATTAACATTTTTTATCACACTAAATCCATAATTGATTTTTTCCTTCTTTAGTTCTACAATTAGTTATCGTAAACTATTTTATGTTTCATTTTTCTACATTACAGTAATATATATTCTTATAAATAAAATTTAAATTTATTTATCAAACTAAATTAAATTATATCAAATAAAACTACAAATTATATTATAAAGTGATAGAAATTGGCATATATTCTTTTAAAAATGTTATTTACTTCAAATCTAATTGGTATGTTGTCAATCTAATAAAAATAAATAATTATTTATCTAAATTCTAAAATTACATATAAAGTTAAAAAACCGTGAAGCACGACTGATACGACACTTGATGTATTAAACATCTAATTAAATAAAAAAATTAATCTATTTTGATTAATATTAAATAAATATATTCTACACTTATGCATACACATATCACCATATTATTTCTATTTATTTAAGATATATATTTTTGTACTTATATAATAGTAAATAATATCGATATTTTTATATGATATAAGTAAAAAAAAATCAACAAGAGTTTATATTTTCATTTAATGTACGTGTGTTTAATTATTATGATTAAAAAAAATATAATTTGACAATTTAATTAAACCTAAAATAATGTTTTATATATAATTAAATTATTTAACACGAGTTTTGTACTAGTAACTATAATAATTACAAAACACAAGTTAATATGTTGGTTCGAAAAGTTTCACTAACAAATATTATTACACAGCTCTTTTACATGTATACTGTAACTCTTCCTAAATAATTGCACATATACTCATCATCATCATCATAATTTTTATTTGCAATTATATCACAACCTTAAAAAAAGTTGTGTTTATACTTTATACACACCCTAATCCCTAATTCCTTCAGCAAATCCACAATTCCCTCATCTTCCTCTTGCACTGCGACCATAATTCTCTCATCTTCCTCCTCTATCGCTGCCACCACCGAGCCTCCCCGTCATCTCCAATCTCCTTCTCTTCCCGCGCACGGCCCGCCCCGCCCCTTTTTACCAACAAATGCGGCCGGATGGTTCTTGGCTTCAACTCGTGTTCCTATTCCTATTCCTATTCCTACAGTCATCAATCTACCCATTTATTTATAATTTCGATTAATCCTCATCGTTTTTCTCGAAACTATCTGCTCCTTTTCAACTCGCCGGTTTAAACGCTGAGACAGGTACCTCTTTTTTGTTTTTCATTTTCCTTTTTGTGCGATTAATTTTTTTATCCCCTATTTCATGCTTTTGTTCATAGGATATATGACGATGCCTGCTTAGTTATTGTGATACATAAAAGAATAAAAATTTTGTTTTTGAAACACGAATTTAAGAGGGTGTAGACCCATTTTGCTGATAAGTTGTGAATGCCCAGGTGTTTGGTGACATCATTTGAGGATTGGTGAATTTGTTTGTTGTAAGAGTCAGTGATTAGCCCACTTTACAAGCCTAGGAATGCGTAGTCCAAGTCTAGCAAGCAAGGAAGTAATTTGTGGTGGTTGTTTATTAATAAATTATATTTATAAGGAGCAGAATTTTTACAATGTCTACCCTTTTGTAAAAAAGATTTGAATTGCAGTCTAACCATGAGCAAGTTATTCTCCAATCAGGTTTCATTGAGTGTATATGAATCCTAGCCAAGTATCATATTGATGTGATTGTTTCTTTTTGCCTCACCTTAGATAGAAACCTTAATCACATAGTCGACAATTTTGTAACCTCAATTCGAACAACTTAATGTAGTTCTGGTATTGTCCTGGAAAGTAATGGGAAACAGTTAAAAGTTGTAGTGTGCATTGTGTAGTCATGGAGTCCATTCCACTCATTAGACTTTGATTATGTCTTCTTTACTGTTATTCTGATGCTGATCTCGTATGTTGTGCAGCTGCTACCTCGTTGATCAGTCACTTGGAAATGGTGTTATTGTGCTATGTGAACTGGAATTTATAAGTTGTATAAGTTGTACTTACTAAGACTAGGTTAGTTACATGCATAACGCTTTGTACACCTTTTGATCATGATTTTGATATTTACATCTCTCTTTCTCTGTAAGGTAGGGTAGGGTAGGTAATCGAGAATGGCTGAGATGATGGAGATGGAAATCAATGGAAAACTCAGATGTTGTACCGGTTCAGATGTCTCCAAAAGGCGGAGAATTTTGGAATCTGCTGATAGTCCACAACATGGAGCGGGAGCCATTAATAATACTGAGGTCACTATTAGTTTTCAAGATTGGCTATGGCCTGAGTGGATCCTGATGGAAGTTCTGTGCAGGCTCCCATTCAAGATGGTTATCCGATGCAAAAGTGTCTCAAAACAATGGCTTTCTCTAATCTCGGATCCTTCTTTTGCCCGCTTCTATAACATCACCTCTCGAGGCTGGCAAGCCTCTGCTTTCCTTCCGTGGATCTTTATTTTCAACAAAATGAGTGCTGGAGGTTGTGGGATGACGCATTTTTCGGAGGAAAAAGTAATGGATATTATGTATCCTTTTCCAAACTCCCCTTCCCCTAATTATTGTGTACTTCCCATTCCGAAATCTCAGCAGCAGCAGCAAGATAAGAAGGGGAGAATGTGGGCCACTATCCATGCCATTCACGACGTGTTTTTGCTGTACAAGTGGACACGCATAGATGAGCTGTACATCTGCAATCCCATGACCAACCAGTGGTTTCCACTTCCTCGACCCAAATGTAACCCAAACGCAAATGTCAGCTATGGTTTCATAACACGGGTCGAATCCGGAATCTTAACCAGCTACAGGATCGTTCTTGTCCGTTGTTATCCCCAGAAACAATTTTTCATCGAGTTCGTGGTATTCTGTTCCGAATCGGGAAAATGGGTAGAATATACCGTTCGCTCCACGCGTGCAGTTCAGGTTTCTTATACCAAGAAGAGTGTGTTCCTCAATGGGAAACTGCACTGGAATGATTGTGAGCTTGGGCTTATAGCTTACGATCCTTATACGAGTCCTGATGAGATGCGCTTGATAGATTTTCCCAAGGATCGAAATAAACCACCACACAAATACATGGGGAACTACAGCTCGTGTGGCGTCCACCAAGGGCTTCTCAACTATTTTGAAGTTATCGATCCATGCAGTGGTCCGCGCGGCTTCTCTCAGCTCAAGATATGGGTGCTGGAGGACTATGATGTGGGTGGATGGTGTTTGCAGCATATGGTTGCGTTTGAAGATATTAGGACTGATGGTCGTTTGTATGGCCGACCAATGGGTCCCGACCTCGTTTGTTTCGACCCGTATGATGCGGAGATAGTGTATTTGCGGTGGTACAGGGACTTGGTCTCTTACAACATGCGGACGAGGGAGCTGACACCGCTGGGCCTTCCTCATGAACCGGAGAAGAATTTTACGTTCGTGTTTAGTGAGCACTGTCTATGTTTCCCAGTTCTGCTCCCGCCATGGCCTATTTCTATTCCTACCTCTCTAATACCAAAGCTATAGGGAGACCCATCATTATCATTGTTATGTATTATTAACCTTCTTTGACAACAAATTCAAGAAACCATTAACCAGGTATTTATTTATTTATTTATCTATTATTCTTAAAAATGTTGGGATTTTTTTTTTTTTCTGAAGTTAGTTAATTTTTTTATTTTCTTGAAAAGGGTCCGGATGGTGCATTCTTCGTAAATCTGGTGCCTTCGTAAATCGTGAAAGAAGGGATACAAGATTTTCAAGGCGACAACCCTAAAAATCTTGCACCAGATTTACTAAGAATGCATTCGGACCATTTTCAAGAAAAAACAAAAAATTAAATAGCTTCAGAAAAAAAAAGAAAAAAAACAACACAACATCCCAACATTTTTAAGAATAATAGATAAAAAAAATTACCTGATGGTTTTTTGAATTTTAGAGGCATAACGTTCATATATATTCAACGCCAAGGGTGGAAGGTAATCAACATGAACTCGATGAGCCTTGAATGTCTGATTATTCTGAATATGAACACAGAGTTGAAGTTAAAGACGCAAAAAAATAAAATTTTGAAAATTTTTTCGTACTGAAAATAACACAGAACAAAGATTAAAGTATAGTGTAGATGTTTACTTAAAAAACTAATCGAATCTTGAAAAAAAAAAAAAAAAANACAATTTTTATGTAGAATGCAGACTTAACAAAAGGAAAGGAAATTAATTACCCCATCGATTATATTCACAGAGCGAAATTTACGGACTTTGTTCCCTAGAATTTGCCAATACTCATTATGAACCATGTCCCTCCACTCCTCAGACTTGCATCTGTTGGGAAATGCCGCGGAACAACGTAATAAAGTGAAAAAGGCATGGCTTAATTTGGGAGACAGAGAGAGAATAGAGAAAGGGTGGATGAATTTGGTAGACTGTAGAGAGAGAAGAGGGAGAAAGAGGAGAGAGAGAGAAAGAAAAAGGATATAGAAGGATACCAGGGATAGAATTGTTAAGAGTATAAAAAATAGCCGTTTTCTTTGGTTCAAAAGTACAACGGCATGTTTGTTTACTAAATAATTTAATCACATTTAATTCATACTCAAAATCTAAGTAAATTTTAATTCAATTCCACTATCTCTAATATTATTCATATAATTAAATAATACAAAATAATCATTTTTACACATCACATCAATTTTAATTCACTATTCATCCACTCACATAATTTTAACTACCTATTCTTTCCAATCATATCTCTCATACTTACATAAAATAAATTTTAATCATTTTGATATGGGATAACTATACCTGATCGACTGGACCGGAGAAGTAACCGGACTAAACCGACCTGGTCACCAGGCGAATGGGGAGAGAGGATCACTCAGGTCAAAAGACTCTCTAGTCGAAGAACGTATGGGAAGCCAAGAGTTACCCAGAGGTCGAACAGGAGCTCTTAGAGAGACTGGTCGAGGATCAAGGGGAAAGGGGGTCTGGTCGAATGATCAACCACAAGAGCAGGACAATAGAGTCAGTAATCGAGGACACCTCACCTGAAGACAGTGGAGGTCGAGTCCGTGATTAGGACACTTAATGAGGAGAGCTCCGAGATAAGAATGAATCATAGGGGAATTAACCCCTGGGTAAAACCATTTGGCGTCGCCTGAGTGGTCCACACTGCATAACTACCTCTGACAACCCGAAGGGCTCTGACAGCCCTGACAACTGGAGTGGTTCAAACGATCGTCAATGAGGAGCACGACGTGCCCGACTTGGGCCTTAAGATATCTTCTCCCTATAAAAGGGAGTGAGGTATGACTAACATCATCTTCTACATTACATTACACTTTACGAATTACAGAGAGAATTCTCCTCTCTGCATTTGGAGCATTTACTGACTTAAGCATCGGAGGCTCTTTATTGGAAATCTCCTCGGGTGAGAGTTTTGCAGGTTCGAGGACGTTCAACTAGCGGCAAGCTCACAATCCAAGCGGTTCCAGCTTATTCCAGCCGGTCGAAGGTCCTTTTGATACCATTATGGCGCCGTCCATGAGAATTTTGTTCAAAAAGTTTTGTGTGAAGCTGTTGTTGTTGTTCAACTATGGCGGATGGAATTTCCAGAATGAACTTACAGCCGTCGCCGATGAGGCGTGGACGACGGTACGTCTGTTTGGAGTTGGCCCTTCTCCGAGCTAGAAACAAGTGTACTTTAATGGGGTAATTTTGACAAGTGTACTAGAAAGTTTGACACGTAGGGAGTAATTTTCTCTAATGCGTTTGTAGTTATTTTTCAGTCATGTCATTAAGGCTATGTTTGGTAAGCCAAATAAACCAGCTTATAGCTTATTTAGTTAACTTATAAGTTTCTTGTATTCAAATAAGCCTCGTTTGGTAGGACGAACTTTTTTAAAAAACTCGAGTTTATCTCATAAGTTACTTTAGGTAACCTTTCAAATAAGCTAGTTGAATTTTTTATTTCAGCTAGCTTATCAGCTAATTTTACCAAACACTTTTATCATATGAGCTAGCTTATCAGCTATAAGTGATAAACTCAAAAACTACATATAAGCTATAAGCCTATAAACTAGTTTATCAGCTATTAGATAGTTTTAGGGCATTACTATTCACCGCCCCCCATATTACTACTCACTGCCCTCACCCCCAATTACGTTTTTGCCCTTCACACTCTCTCTCTATTATATCTCTCTACTCTTTCCCTCTCGATTTTCTACGACTCTTTTGAGCATAAAATTTTTTTGGAAAAATACCAAAAAAATACCATGACATCGGCAAGACATTGAAGATTGACTATGTATTTTTTTTTTTTTGAAAAAAAATTCAATTTTCTTGGCGCGTCCTACCGACTCGGTAGTACGCCAACGTCCGGCCTCGTCGGCAGTACGCCTTTTGGCGTGTACTACCGGGTCGATAGGACGCGCCAAAAAATTTGATTTTTTTTTTTAAAAAAATCCATGGTCAATCTTCAATGTCTTGCCTATGTCATGGTATTTTTTTGGCATTTTTTCGAATTTTTTTTTACGGTCAAAAGAGTCGCAGAAAATCGAGAGAAAAAGAGTAGAGTGATAGAGTAGAGAGAGAGTGTGAAGGACAAAAACGTAATTTGGGGGAGGGCGATGAGTAGTAATAGGGGGCAGTAAATAATAAATGAGTAGTTTTACCAAACATAGTCTAATTTAAATCAGCGCATATAACAAGTTTCAGTCATTTCAGTTCTTCCGTAAAACATCCGAAAAATGGTATATTAAAGTTGAAGAGAAACCACAGATTCACGGCCCAATGGACAAAACAATTACAGCCCAACCCAAACCTTTAGAAAGGATCCAATAATAATTTCTCTTTCGTAAACTCTCTTCGTACCTTGACCGTTTTCAAATAGTGCACAAGCAGCTATGGTTTCCCGAACGTATACCCGTCGAGCAGTTTCTGCTGCAAAAGGCGGCGTTTTTGGGCCTTCCGAACCAGGAGAGATCTCTACGACCATGGCTCGCCGGCGTGAACCCAAAACATCTTCAAAATCCCTCAAAGGTGCCCCGACAATGGACTCAAATGTCGCACTGAAGGTGTTCGACGAAATGATTCAGCGACAGCCCCCAATGCCGATATCTTCATTCAACCCGTTGCTCGGCGCCGTTTCTAAATCCAGGAGGTACCAGGATTTGATTTCCATGTTCAATCGGTTGGCGGAGGTAAATTCGTTGCCGGACTACATTGGGATGAACATTTTGCTTAATTGCTGTTGCGAGCTGAAAAGGGTCGATCTTGGTTTTGCTGTCATGGGCGGGATTTTCAGGAGGGGTTATAAACCGAACATCGTCACATATACTGCTTTGTTGAAAGGTCTGTGCAAGGAAAATAAGATGAATGCTGCCGTGCAGCTATTGCGAAAAATAACCGGGTTAGGTTTTCACCCAAATGTGAAAACATTGGGGACTTTGGTTAATGGGTTATGCAGGAATGGGAATTCGAAGGTCGCTCTTAGGTTACACGAGGAAATGAGTAGCGGGAAATTCGTGCCGGGGCAAAGATTCAATCCCAGTTTGATTTATTACAGCTGTCTCATTGATGGTCTCTGTAAAGAAGGGTTTGTCCAAAAAGGTGCAGAATTGTTCTCAGAAATGGAGGGAAGGGGAATTTCTCCTGATGTGGTTGCTTATGGGGCCTTAATTCATGGTTTATGCAAATGTGGTGATGGAGAGCAAGCAAAGGAATTGTTCACCCGTATGATGGATAAGGGCATTCGCCCGAATGTTGTGACTTTCAATATGTTGATAGATTCACTTTGTAAGGATGGGAAAACCGATGAAGCCCGCGGGATTTTGGAGCAGATGATTAAAAGGGGCGAGAAGCCCGATTCCATCATGTTTAATACTTTGATGGATGGGTATTGTCTCGAGGGCAGAATCGGTATTGCTACGGATTTGTTTCTCTCGATGGCCGCGAAAGGTCACGAGAGGGACGTCGAGAGCTACAACGTTTTGATCAATGGATATTGCAAATGCCGTAAATTGGAAGAGGCGATGACCCTTTTCAGAGAGATGCTTTCGAAAAATTACAGACCGAGTGTTGTAACTTTCAATATTTTGTTAACCGCTCTTTTTCGCGAGGGTAGAGTTGAGGAGGCCCGTGAGCTTTATTCCAAGACGATGAAAGATCATGATCTGAAGCCCGATTCTACCACTTATAGTATATTATTGGGTGGTTTTTGCAAGAATGATTGCGTTGATGAAGCAATTGAGTTGTTCGAGACTCTCGAAAAGTGCGGATATAAGGTGAACGACGTGAATTGTAACTGTCTTCTCGATGGACTTTGCAAGGCAGGCAGGCTCGATCTTGCTGGTGGGCTGTTTGAGAGGTTTACTAAGTTGGGCTTGGCCCGAACGACTTATACTTACTCGATCATGATCAATGGGTTTTGCAAGAAAGGGCAGTTAGACAAGGCGAATGATCTTTTTATGGAAATGGAGAGCAAAGGCTGCCCTCCTGATGTGGCGACGTTTAATTCACTTATGCGAGGATGTTGTGATAATAATGACGCGGAAAAGGTTGTCGAGTTACTTCAGAAAATGGCGGATAGAAATTTTTCGCCAGATGCATATACTGCGGCCATTGTTGTGGACTTACTGTCGAAAGATGAAAGTTACTCAAAGTATCTGAATATGATACCCAGCTTCTCTGGAAAGGCCTAATAAGTATTTGACATTCTGAATATGTTATGGAGTCAATGTGGAATATTGAGGTACATATTGTGTGTTAATTTTTAAGATTCAGAAGGAGTTGTTTTTACATTTGCCAGTTGAAACTGATAAAACTTTTTTCATAACTAAATTGGCTACATGGAAAATGAGCATTTGTGTTGCAATTTGTGGACTAGCATTCCAATGAATGGTCATTACAGATTACTTGTTTTATGAAGAACTTTATTGCCTTCCAGAGTTGACTTCATCACTCTTTGAAGAAGGAAGAAGCTAACGAATTTGAGTTACGAGACTATAAGGTAACTCATAACTATTGCATGTGATACATACTATTCATGTGTTCGTAATAAAGTGGTGTTATCTTCTGAAGTTGTTCGTCTGCTGGTGTATGCAGGGCTTTGTGTTATTTGAAGTAGATGAATTGGATGTGACAAATTCGGAATCATTTGGAAATTAAGGAATTTGAATATTTTGGTAGAATTTGGTGCTATAAGGGGGACTTTTGCAGCCCTCCAGCTTTGAAATTGTCTCAGATTTCGATATATGTAAGTCTCTTTCACGTCTTTACTGGTTACATTTACTTCTGACTAGATGAACTAAATAAAACGTTTTTCCTTTAACTTAAAATGAATGTCAATATTTGTGCAAACAATCACGAAAGCTGGCTGCATAAAGGCTTGTATTATACTTATTCATAGTCTTGCACAAAGAATACATTTTTTAGAGTGGTTGCTGTTTTGGAGCTTGGATTGATAATTGCACTTCAAAGAGAGTTGAAAAATACAGGTAAAGCATAAAAGACTGTTAGCTAATAGCATTTTTTGAATGTTACAAATCAATGACAAAAACATTGAAGAATTTACTAATTAAGAAAAAAAAAAAAATTGTATTCCTAACCATCAATTAAAAGCATTTTTGCTTGTGAAGAAAATCTGCCCCGTGATTGTGCTGCGAATATTTGTCTTTTGAACATAGCTTTGTCCTGTGGGCCAACCGGCCAAACACGTTTTCAAGGGTGCATAGCCCAATACTAAAAGTCAAAAAAGTGGATGCAAAATAGCGTGTAATTCTCAATTTTGAAACATTAACACGGACTTATGACCAAGATATTTAATTTTGATTTATCTAATAGGAATTGTAACAACCCATAATATGCTGGTAATGATGATTTTAGCCAAATTTTATTATTATTTTTATAATATACATATTTTCATATTCAGTGACACTTTAAAAATCAAAATAAATAAAAATGTAACATTTCATGCTGTTGTGATTATTTTGCTAAAAAAGTATGACGTTCAAATAAGCGCAAAAGGTAAAAATAAAAAGTAAAATACTCACATTTTCATGAACGATGCTAATCGAATTTCTATTCAGTTCATTTCTCATTCGCAGTGTATTAATAAAGAAAAAAAAGGACTAGTTCATTGGTAATAGTAAAAAAGAAGACGAAAATGAAGAAAAAGAGACGGATCCATTACTATACATCTTGCATTACACTGAATAAAAGTTGTTAATATGTATAAATATATGTTCACATGGACAAATTCACCTTTACTTACTTTTCACACCGAGATCTGAACCGTTAAATCAACACACACTACACGTGCAAGTGTGTGTATGTGCATGATCTGACGGTTTAGACACCCTCTGCACCGTTAGGGTAGAACTTGTGCTTGTTCACATGGAGTGACTTACAATTCATCATAAAGCCTTAATATCTGAACCGTTAAATCAACACACTACTCGTGCAAGTGTGTGTATGTAAATAATCTGACAGTTCAGACACCCTCTGCACTGTTAGGGTCGAACTTGTGCTTGTTCACATGGAGTGACTTACAATTCATCATAAAGCCTTGATTAAAACCATATGTTAGGTTCACATATTATGATCTAAAAACATTATGATTTTGTATAGTATAACATGAAAGAATCCATTAATTACTGCACAATAAAATAGAAGGGGAGTTTAGTTAACCTGCACAACATTAATACATATATTCCTTTCATGATCCTTCTGCAACTCCATGAACATACTACTTTGTGAATTTCGGCTATTAGATGAGATATTTATACATAATAATTCCGAATAGTAATCAAGAGTAAATTACAAATATTCTATAAATGGTTAAAAAAAAATTATCCGTACCATGGAATAGGAGATTAGAAACACCACTATAAATATAGGGATGATCCAAAGATTATGGAAAATCGATCGATTTCGAAAATTTATATTCTTTGAGGTTGAGGGGAATGAAGCCTGGTCCGAAACCATTCAATTGACGATTAACTCCATTAGACGATTTTATTCGAATCTAATGGAAAAATCGAAAGATTTCGTACCAGACAACATTCCCCTCAACA